CTGGCGGGGGTCGCGTCATGGGTGATGGCCGATCAGTGGCAAAGACGATTATTCTGGCGATAACCAGACGGCGACGACGAGGCCGATGACGATGGTGAATTTCACTGACAAAGGGTTCCGTATTTTTGTGGTGATGGTTCGATCGACGGCAACAACAAATGCGGATCTGCGGTGGATTGTCGATGCAACTTCGATGGAGTCGGCCTTACATCACAGTGGAAGCCGGAATGACCAAGCAGAGAACAGAGAAGTGGAAGAGAAAGGAAGCTGCCTTTCTTTGCTTTTGCTTTTTAACCTTTTAATTTAAATTTTATTTAATTTAATTACTAAACCAGACCCACAGAGTAAATCTCAATCCCTAGGGCTGGGAAAACGGTTGGCGGTTTGCGGTTAAACCGACAACCGCACCGAAACCGCGCGGTTATTGGTTAACCGCAAACCGCATATTTGGCCTATTTTGCGGTCGCGGTTGGAGATATGGCCTGTTTTGCGGTTTGCGGTTTAACCGCAACCGAAACCGCAAATCCATATAATCGCAAAGCTAACCGCGAAACCAGACCCAGCCCATAATTCACCCCCAGCCCAGCCCATAATTGACCCCAGCCCAGCCAGCAGGATTGTGGCATTGTGCATTTGTGCTTGTGGATTGTGTTATTTGGATATGCAGACAGATGTAGAGGCTTGATGGAAGTGAAAATAGACAAAACAGTAGCTGCTGTGTTTTTTTTTCCATGATTTTTTTGCGGTTAGTTCGCGGTTAATTGTCGGTTAGAGTGCTAACTACGGTTTCATATGGTGTTTCGGTTGTTGCGGTTTTCACAACCATAAACCGCGGTTCACCGCTAACCGCTTTCTGCGGTTTTTGGTTAACCGCTAACCGTTGCGGTCGCGGTCGCGGTTGGCCAATATGGGTGTTTTGCGGTTGCAGTTAACCGCAAATTGCGGTGCAGTTAACCGCAACCGCACCGTTTCCCACCCCTATCAATCCCAATGATCTTAACCGGTCAGAGATAATGACAGCACCAGTGCGGTCACGGTACCATAGAATTGTCGTACACTTCCATTGACAAGGAGCCACAATTTTGTGAATTTTGTAGCATTCATTCCAACATTTCGATGGCATTGAATAGGTTTAAAACTTACCACTGTATGGGTTTATAGCGGTCAAACTTCCATTGACTGGTAATGTAATTGTTGTGACTTTTGCAATGTCATGTCTGCATCATTTGAGTCTTCGTCTCAAATTTGCGTGTGGTATGGTAATCGCCAAGAAGGCAAATTATTCTCTAGCTTAGTATTGTTGATTACTCTGCATAGTGACATCTCATTTGTAGGTGGCTACTTCGGCGCACTCACTTTTTTGGGTGCACTGTGCACCCACTCTAAAAGTATTCATATTACATCAAATTTTGAACTTTAATTAGTACTCTCAATCTAATATGAAAATATGACATAGAATCATAACAAATCAAATTGTTACCCTAACCCCCTTAACCTTCAATTTTGAATCCCAATCCAAAATCCCAAATTTTAAACCTAATACCTAACCCTAAATCTCTAAATCCTAAATCCTTCAAATTAAAGTAAATTTTGAATGAATTTTTTTTCAAATTCATGTGCTTCTTCACAATTACTTTTTTTTATTCATTAAAAAGACAGGTACTGGGATTCGAACCATGACCATTTTAAAGAAAAGCAAGGATCATAACCAATCACACTAAGTACTTTTGTTGTATCTTTTTAAATTAAAAACATATAATAGCATGGAGGAAAAAACCCTTCCCCCATTTCAAATTCCCTGCTCTAGGAGCGTTTGTAGAAAGGGTAGAATAGGGAATGTCAATTTTTTTCTCTTTCCTCTATGGAACGGGCCAACTTACCGTACACATGCGGATTTAAACGGGTCCAGGAGTGTCAATTTTTTTTTCTATTAGCCCTTTTATTTCTCCGTGGTGATAAAATATATATGAAAAGGCAAAAACAATACTTCTTTTTATTGCTAAAAATAAAAATTAAACAATAAACTAATGCATGGTATCTAATGGGCTAACCGTTAACCATAAAATAAAAGAGTTGAATGGGCCCGACGTACACGGGATTTGGACATCAAGTAAAACAAATGAACCTCATTGGTTTGTCATTCTAAAACAAGCTATTTTCTCTGACATAATATATATTATGCTATTATTTTATATCTTAGTGGCTAAAATATAATGTATTTTAAAGTTATTCAATGGTTCAACCTCGACCAACCCAATTAGTCCAATTTTTATCATTTCAATTATATATTATATAATTATTTGATATCATAATGATCAAATTATAGTGTATTTTATAGGGAATCGTTTGGTATTTGTTAGTAAAAACTAAATAGAACGATCTATTTGGTTATTTTAAACATTAAAATGATCCTAAACATTTTCAGTTCCTTTTGAATTTTTATGGTTTTATTCCCGAATAAGAGATGTGCAAATGGCGAATTGCAGTCATCTCTTTTTTCTTTCACTATATTTTATTTTCAAATAGAAAGTTTAAAAGTAAAGAATAATTAGAATTTGGCATGGGTCGGTCAAACATGCTAAATTTCAAGTTTTGGCCCGTTTTGATCAAGTCTAATTTATAATCACATGGTTCCCTGATCCCCGATAAAAATCTCAATCCAAACCAGTTTGGCAGGTGAGTCTGTGTTTACCACCATTTTCTAGGGATACGACAACGGCGGTTCCTATCCCAAATCGTGTTGTTCATTCTTGATTTCCTTAGATTTTATCATGGCCTAACAAAAACCAGAAAGCACAATGACGAGAAGATGAAAGTTTTATAACGGGCCGAGTAAAAGCTAGCAAAGATTGTGAGATGCTCATTTCCCGAAAACTGACGGGATAGGCGATTTTTTATTCGATTTTTTGGAATTCGGTTTCTATAAAACTTACTCCACCTCATCATATTACCAGAAACAATATTGTTTCACAAGGTAACATGTACTTGATTTTGGTTCATAAGGCCGATTTTTTATTCATTGCATCATTCATGTCTCTTTCCTGCTAAAATTCACTATTTTTATCATGTGTTTCCAAAAAAAACTATACAACAATAAGCTATACACCCCATTACATTATCAAATTTCATACCTCACCTTCCTTCGGCCAACTGACCGGGCCACGCTAGTTACGCATATTATGTGGAAAGCACTAAATGAAATGGTCATGCTAAAGTTCCTCGGCCAATGAGCCGAGCCCATCCCAGCGCTAGTAAATAATTATGGAACCTCCTATAGTAACTTGAGTATAATTTCAAGTTAGGTAATTTGTATAGATGTAAACCATTAAAAATAATTAAATACATTTTGGACCATTAATTAAAAAATAAAAAACGTCCAAAAAATACTGGCTACCGGCGCTAGCTGCCCGTCCAGTTTATTTTATGGAATGTATTTGGGCAATGTCTATTTTTTACCCAAACTTTTTTCAGATTCTTTTATTTTAACCAAACCTATAGAAATTCTATTTATTATCCAAACGTATTATAATTTATCAAAGTTTGGGCATTCATTCTGTTACCGTTACTTATTTTGTCCACGTGAGAGGTGAGATTTTGTTTTGTTTTTTGATAATCTTTTTATTAAAAATAGTAAATGATGGTATTCTGACCGCCACGTAGGAAGTCAACTTATTATGGTCATACTTAGTCAGTATTACTAACAGAAAAGTTGACGGAGAGTTAACGTTTGGATAATTTTTAGGAATTCAATAGGTTTGGTTAAAATAAAAGAATCTGAAAAAGGTTTGGGTAAAAAATAGACATTGCCCAATGTATTTTATGGAAAGTTGTTTTTAGTTTTGAACTTTTACCGGACTGGTAGGGAATACTCATTACTAGCATTAAAGTTATTACCATAGCTGTCAATGGAAGGCTTTTACTTTTCTTTTTGTAGTTTTTTTCTATGAGAATTTTGAAGTTTTTTTCTAAATGCTGAAGCAACATTCTTTGCCATTTAATTTGAATATTTTAAATAATTTTACCAACAAAATTGTATAATATTTTAAATTATAAATCAGTCAAAGGTTTGGACGTTTGGTGCCATTTCATGTGCTACCAATTATTTACTAAAAATAAACAAACACCATGACTAATATTTTTCATTTAAAATATTTTTTGAAATATTACAACGGTTATGTAAAATACATACCCATCACATAAAAGTAACAGAAAAAAATTATTTCTTACGTAATAATTAAATCGCAAGCGTTACGTCGTAAGGCTTTCTTAACGATTTAACACTTTATATAATGTGGCATTAATATTCATTTATTTCATTACGTAAAATAATCATTCATTACTTAATGCTTCCGTAATGACAATTGTTTCTTACGTAAAAGTTACATCAGAAGTGTTACGTAAGGTTTCCGTAATGACATTTTACAACTGTTATGTAAACTACACATCAATTACGTAAGGCTTCCGTAATGAAGTTGTTTCTTACGTAACAGTTAAATCCAAAGCGTTACGTAAGACTTCCGTAATGACTTCACACTTTACGTAACGCAAGATTAATATTCATTACGTAAAAGAAGCCTCAATTACGTAAGGCTTTCGTAATGATATTTTAGAACTGTTATGTAAAATACACATCCATTACGTAAGGCTTCCGTAATGATAGTTGTTTCTTACGTAACAGTTAAATCATAAGCGTTACGTAAGACTTCCGTAATGCCTTAACACTTTACGTAACATACGGTTAATTTCATTACGTAAAAGGACCTTTCATTACTTAAGGTTTCCGTAATGATAGTTATTTCTTACGTAACAGTTAAATTAGAAGCATTACGTAAGACTTTCGTAATGACTTATCACTTTACGTAATGCGAGGTAAATACTCATTACCTAAAAGAACCTTCCATTACGGAAGGCTTCCGTAATGAAATTTTACAACTGTTACGTAAGATACACATACGTTACGTAAGCATTACGTAATGTCTATTGTGTTTTATGTAATGCAACCTGTGAAACCTGTTATAGCAGGTAAAAGAAATCAAGTTATCTTACTTCAAGGTATTGTAGGAATTAATTATATGAAAATCATATTTTGTTGTCCGCTTCAATTCTCCTTGACTTGCCGTGACAAATGGATGTGGGCTACGTTTGGGCTTATCAGAGTGACCCGTACTGATGAACATTGGCCAATAGTACTACTCTAATCAGACCAACCCAATTCGATGGACTTGTTTACTTTCTCCATCTTATCCACAACCTAATAGACATGGACTCTGGGCCTCCTCTTATTATGGTTGGGCCGAGGATGAGGCAAGTGATGATAGTACCGGGCCAGCCACCTGCCAATGATTCGGATCTCTGATCTCCTCACGTCTCGAAGCCATTCTGGATCTTCCCTCGTCGCGGACCTTAGATCCACATGGTGAGCACCTGTGCTTGCCACGTGTAGTGTAGCCACCTCAAACATTGGTCATGATTCTTTCTTACACAATTGATTAAATTAAACACACATTACTCAACACTAGTTGGAGATTAGACAGCGTAATAACAATAGTATAATTAATCCCAGAGAATCAAAACAAGCTCTCACCTTTTTCTGCTACAATGGCGACTATGGTGCTGGAGATGTTGTGCAGCACCCTGTCAAACCCCACAATCATAATGGTTAATCAGCACCAGAAGAAACTGAGTTAGTTAGTGGAGATGATTTATAGTTAACTAATTCCATAGGTACGTACCCTCCGCCGCTCCAAGGATCTCTTAAGCCATTGAAGAAGATGATGTTGCTGCCGAACCTCCTCAGCACTTGCTCTATTTTCTGCTTAAATCGATACCCATTAATTAATTAATTAATTAATTGGGCATGCCTGGGCTGGCTGCTGAAAAAGAAAAAGAAAGAAAGAAAGAAAGAAAGAATTACATGGCCGCCGAAGTGAGTGGTGATCCAGTGGGGGCGGGGGGAGATGTTGTAGATTGGGTCGCAGGAGCTGTTATCAAAGCTCCAGGCTGAGACTGGGAACATGCTTTCCTCGTCGCTTGCTCCTTGTGGCATCACCATCTCTGTGCATGCCTGCCCGTGCCCGTGCCCACCCATCAGTTCATGCTCTACTTGTTATTATTATTTTCTTTAACTAGCAAGCTCATGTCTCATTGCTCGCAGTAAAAGCAAGAATTTGAATTCCAAAGCCCAGGCAGTAAATTATACATTATTCTGCCTCGACTTGTACTCATTATTTGGGTGGTCCAAACCAAAAAATAATAGCTGAAAAGGACGTTTTGGTTTTCTCTATTATGACCCGTTAAGATTGGAATTTGGTCAAGGTCAAAGCTTGGAACCAAAATTGTGGAGGTTCCAATCCCAAATATGCTAACTAACTACACATTATCCGAAAGAAAGAAATTAAATTTGAGCATGTGGAAGAAAGATGCTCTGTTTCCCTTTCTTCGTGCCGTGACTCCTATCTTAATTAAGCCATTATCAGGGGTTTCAGACGGGATTCCAATACAAGGAAAGTGGGTTTTAATGATTTCCCCTGTGCTGTTGCTCCGTGAGTGTCACCCATGTGATCTCTCACCAACCCATTTTCCAACTCTAACAAACTATTTCACACATCTTTACGGAATTTTATAATACTATATATAGTATTAGTGATATAAGTTTTTATTTTTATGGCACAACTTGAAGTTATATATTTAAGATTATAATATAACTTTAGATTGTACCTATACAATTTTGTACAATTTTTTTTATAATACAACTTGAACTTGTTCATTTATATGACGGTACAACTTTAAGTTGTAAAATTGTATCATAATATAACCAAAACTTATACATTTAACTTGTACACTTCAAATTATACATTAAATCATCAATATTTTATAGCATAGTAGAAGTGCTGATTAGGCGATTCTGTTAGTCATGTTAGCACATAACGGACTCTTTTAACGGAGTTGGACGGCAACTAACGGCGAGTGACTAAATGTGTCCTGTTTTAGTAATTATAGTGACCAAATTTGATATTAACTTTTTTTAGTGACTAAACATGTCCCGATTTAGTAATGTCAGTGACCAAATGTGTCTTTAACCCTTATTATTATTATTTTTTGTAGGGCTGGGAATTCGGTTACGGTTGTGCAGTTAAACCGCAAACCGCACCGAAACCGCGCGGTTAATGGTTAACCGCAAACCGCAAAAACAACCTTTTATGCGGTCACGGTTGGGAAGAATGAGTCTTTTGCGGTTTGCGGTTTAACCGCAACCAAAACCGCAGATGCACCTAACCGCACTACTAACCGCAGGCCAGCCCACCACTTCATTTTCTAGACCAGTCCATCCAACAAACCCCACCCTAGGCCCACTAGCCCACTGTCGACCCACCCCCTTCCACCACAGTTCTCGTTTCCCCAGCCCTCAGCGTGCGAATTCTTTCTTCAGCCACTTTCCCAAATCGAAAAGAAAGGAAACCCTAGTTCCATGCAACCGCGATGACGTGACTTGGGATTCACAGCTAGTGCAACTGCGCCGCCGCGACCATTCCAGAGCAGAACCCACACTCGTCGTTCGGAAATTCCTCCGCCACCATCCCTTCTTGTCGAGAACCCGCCTTCGTCGCCGTCCCTGCTCGATCAGAGGCGTAGAGCACGCCGCCGTCCTCTCCACATCTGCTCTGCTCGTCGACATCGACGGCGCGACCATTCCAGCGGTTAACTCGGTTAGTGATGCCATTAACCGCGGTGCACCGTTAACCGCATTTTGCGGTTAGCAGTTAACCGCTAACCGTAGCAGGTGCGGTTGCGGTTGGCTAATATGGGCACTTTGCGGTTGCAGTTAACCGCAAATTGCGGTGCAGTTAACCGCAACCGCACCGTTTCCCACCCCTAATTTTTTGGTAGAAACTTGATTCAATTCGAAAGGCGTGAAGTTAAGAACGAGGGATTCTGTAATGCGTACCTGCCAATTCCATCCGTTGGCTCCGAGCTCCTCAGAATAATAATCGTCGCCAAAACCGAAACAAGCGGGCGCGGTTCCGCTGTGGTTATAATAGACGCTAGCGGCGGCGAAGAGCTTGGCGAAGGAATCGTTGCCGGTCTTCGGATCATCCATCGCCTGGCACATCTCTCGCACCGGATAAGCTGGCATTGGTTGCAGAAAATTCGAAGGTGTTGGATAATCAGTCATGGCGGTGTATATCCATGCAGTGTCTAGCCAACCCGACAGGGAGTCCACATCCTCCTTCCTGAAAAATCATCATCATCAACCAACAAAGAGAAATTCGACCCAGTCACTTGCGCATTGCAACTTGATCACAAACTGCTCGACGAAATGCCTGAATGAGCTAATTTTTTGCGTGTGGTGCTACTTTACTTGCATAGGTGAAAGGAGCTGCGGAGCTTCTCGACTCCTCCTGGTTGCGTTGCCGTGTGGGTAATCAAATCATATGATTCCTTAATCACCCTGTAGCAGCTCTCGCTCTCACTCTGCGTATCAAGCAGTTAATCACAAATTAGAACGCAAAGGTAATCTCGGTCTTCCCTTTCACTCTTTGGGCCGATTGCAATGAATGTGAATTAAACTACGGCAGAGAGTTGTCTTTGTACTGCTGTTTGTCCTGTAGGGAACAATGAATGCGAGACGCAGGAGGGAAATTTGGAAGCTTGCGGTGGGAAATGGCTACATCCACGGCCTCTGCAGCGGCCGCCCATATTGTCTTTTCGGGAGAGCCAACATTTAAAAGAGCAGGGGAGGGAAGAAGAAAGAGGACAAACCCTAAAGTCATGAGTGACTATGGAGGCGAAGCTGTATGGGGAGGTTAGATCATCGAAGTCGAGGATTGGTGCAGAAGACGCCAATGCTCCTATGGCCACATGCGGATACTTGAGCCTGAACCACGCTGCCAGCACTGCGACCAGCCATTCCATTCAATTCCCCCAGGTTAATAAACCATAAACACAATGATCTATTGACTAACCCATTATCCAAATCAAAACCTCAATTGACAAAAGCAACTGAATTACTTCCACCGTAGGATCCGCCGAAGACCACAACAGGAGAATCAACAGCTGAAAGGTTCTTCTTCAGGTCAACAACGAGCGTGGCGAAATCGGCTAGCGCCTGAGTAGAGCTTAAGTATCCCAGCGTGGTGGCGTCCTTGTAGGCCTTCTTTGCGTCTCCACCAAAGGGCATTGATTTCCCGTAGAATCTATGCTGCAGAATTGGGAAAGCCAGAGGGATGGGGAAGTTGAGAACTTTTTCTATCAAGCCAGAATATAGTCCGCCGAATGAGAAGGAAGCTTACCTCGATGAAGACGAGTAGGGCGTTGAAGTGAGGGGCAACGTCGAACATGAAGCCGGTATTGCGAGCGAACCATTCGATGCCGCCTTCGTTGCCTGTGTAGACGAAGATGGGAGCTTTGTTCTTGGCGCCGCCCCAGTAAGTGTCGTTGACGAGGTACCTCTGCTGGAAAGTTTGGTAACTTTGGGGAGTATAAGTGAAGTGATCCAGCACCTGGGTGAAGAATTCCTCTCTGTAGAGCTGCTGCGGATTGTGATTGGCGTCCAGAGATGCTGAAATGAAAGCAGGGGAATCCAAATTGTTGTGGGAACGGAGGATGGAGGAAGGGAATCTGGGCGCGATTGCTGATGCTGGTTGAGATTTAGTGAAGACGAAGAGGAGAAAGAGTGGAAGGTAGGGGAGTTTGGATGGTGTAGTCGCCATGGCTGGTGGGTTTGTAGGATGTAGCCAGAGCTTTTAGGGGGGGGCGGAACAGGGGGGAAGGGGTAAAATGGGATTTTATAGCAGCAGGATGTTACTTGTATGAATAATTTATCAAAGGCAAAGGGAATCTTGATAAGATAATAAAACAAATAGTAATACTGCGATACATCGTGTGGTTGTTTTCTCAATTAATGATGATTAATATCCTCCAGGGAATTCTTACTTCCAGCCATTTTTCTAGTTGGAGCGAAAGCGATTTATTGGGAAAATTCGTGGACGCCGGCTTCTTGTTTGGATCATCAGCAAGCTGGAATCAGATTGATTAAACTAAATTGGTCTAGTTATTACATAAGATAGGGTATGTTGTTTTCCCGCAATCTGCACATATATCTTCTTCAACTTATCTAATCCATCCCAGACCGACCTATAATATTCGGAGGAGGTCCTATTGGAATATTTAAAATATGGTCTTAAAATGTTTTCCCATAAATTTATCAAAAATAAAAATTATTTAATAGTAGTAAAAAATACATAAATTCAAAAAATTATTAAAAAATATAATATAATCTATCAATGTTTAAAAAGTAACAACTTCAACTTCAAAAAGCTTCTTTATGTTGTAGCAACAGTCATAGGAATAGTTAATAAGATTCTATATACTACACCTGCATTAGAAAAACAATCATCCCTATAAGATATCATGATGACCAATCCAATTGATTAGGTGCGGGATACCATCACAACCCCCTAAGGGGTTGTTCCTATTCACTACTGCACTTGATCAGGTTCATACGAGTCTTTTATTTAGCTTATAATGGGAATTCTACTTTTTTTTGGCTATTACTTGATTTGGGTTTGTGTCTGCCAGTTATAAGATGTTTGTCCAAGCTCATTATGAATCTCTTTTGTTTACACTTTAGGGAGACATCTCTCGATGCACCTATTTTGCTTGCTGATGTCCCACCTGTTGATATTTCAAAGATTTTCATTGCTCAACTCAATGATTTAAAAAACATGGAAGACCAGACTATAAGGTATTTCCTAAACAATTGGCAGCCTTTCAGCCCGTCTAATTCCTAACGTAATTTTTTTTGCTGAGTTAACTTCCGGAAAAGGTGTTCACGGTTGAAGAAAAGTGATTAAAGTACATCCTAATTGGTGCTACATGGGTTGTGTTGTGTGTCTTCGGGAGGTGGAAGAGGAATTGGAAGAGTACTTTTGTGGCCACTGTAAGACGACGTCTTCCATTGCTAAAGCCAAGTAAAGCTGATTATCTGATTCTTGCTTTGTACATCCTGCATTCTGGACATTTTTGTTGTTTGACTTTGTGACTTTGATATCAAATACGTATATTACTTCAGAATATGAATGAGGAATGCGCATTTATGATTTTGTTTAATTTTATTCCATGTTTACCATAGGTATAGGGTAAAGTTCCAAATGGAAGATGATACCGGAGAAGCTGAGTTTGCCATCTTAGAGCATGAAGGTCTGTGTTTTTCTGGAGTCATGGTTGATGTGCTATTCCAATAAAACTAGAGGAACAGAGAACCTATTTCGCCTCAGATCCAATAGATTGTCAACATGACTCTGAAACTAACATTTAAGCTAACTCAATTCAATTTCATGAACCCACAAGCTGAGTATTCTGTGGTTCGCATTGACCATGATCCACTTCAGGTAAATGAACTTTCAGCTGCACCTCACTTCAGTTGGGCTATAGGGTACCAGATTACTTTCATTGTTTAAAGCTACTTTGTATCTAAAATTTGCTTGCAGCAGTTCACTAAGACTACAAGTCCTAAGGACCATGGAGGGACAACCTTAACCGGGCTGAAAAGGGAACATGCTCCCAATTGCGACTCTGAGCAGGAGAAGTGGTGTTGCTGAAACCTTTTTGTACCTAAGGAGCACCATCTGAAGCTTCAGTTTAGCATTAGATTTATTTTTTTATTCAGATTCCTATTGAAACTCAGTTTCTAGGTTATTTCTCTTATGGATATTCCTCTTCTGTTCAGTTAGAATTGTGGAGAATATTATGGTTCTTTGTCTGCAATCCTTTCCCATCTATTGGATATTTTCCCCTTCTATGGATTTTCTTTTTTTGTTCCCTAATTTTTGTTCATAACTGCCAATCAATCTCAAGTTTAGTCCAGTCTTAGTTTAGCTACCGACAAGGGTTGCTGCATTTTTATATAGTCTGATTGTTGGTGTTATTATTAAAAAGTTACTGCCAAACTTAGTTGCAATTTTTAGATAACCTGATCATGCAGGTGTTTGCTGTCATTTTTTTTTTGTCAGAATAGGTTAGATTATTATCGTCCAAAAGGTAAGACATTCTAATCTTAGGAACACTGTTAAATAGGTTGAGTACAACTTTTTTCTTGCTGTTATTGAATGTTAGCAAAGTATATAGAGGACTGATGACTTGATATATACACATGTTTTTGTCCACCATTCTTTTACCGTTTGAGCCTCATTTCTCGTATCTTAGGCCGATTTCACGCTAGGTTGTTCTTATTTGTGATATTTCAGGTCCTTAACATGATTGGAGGTTTGGGAACGAGTTCGGGGTCGATTGGATGAAGGTTGGACATTTGGCGAGAAGCTGAGGAAACCACACGGCCAGACCTAGCAGCCACACGATCGTGTGGCGTGGCCGTGTGGAATTCCTTTGCGCGGACAAACCACACTAGCCGTGTACAGGGTCCCTTGAGGCCGTGTGGAAATCACATAGATTTTGCACGGGCAGGCCGAGATTTCATACGGCCGTGCAGTTCTGGCCGTGTGAAGTGCATGAAACCACTTAAGTGAAACGCGACATTTTCACCTCCACACGGGCAGCTGGGATTTCTACACGGTCGTGTGGCCTGGCCGTGTAGTCGGGAAATTCTGGGTTTTAACCCAATTTCGGGTCTTTTGGAGAGGAATCGAGTTTTTGAGCAAAAAACAGAGCTTTAGAGAGAGAAAGTGCGAAGAACAAATCCTAGGAGCTATTTGGAGTGGATTTCTCACCATTGAAGCCCAGATTGCATCCCCAGGAGTGAAGATCGATATCCCAAAGCAGATCATCCTCATCTTTACGAGTATGACTACTCTGATTTCTGTTTTCCCCTCTCTCTCTCTTTGGAGTAGAACCCCCTCTCACTTGGGTATGAAGAACCCTAGTTCCATGTGTTAGGAATCTTGATTGTAATGACTTTGGATTGATATACTGATTGATTTTAATCGATTGATGCATTATTCATTGAGTCAATTGAAGTCTGATAATCTTTTCTTGATTTCTACTGCAACCTGAGATAGATAGAATCTGATTAGGTTGTTAGAGCTTCATCAATCGGTAGTGGTAGATTGGTTATCCGAGAGTTAATCGATTTACTGCTTTGTACTGGAAACCATTTCCAGTAGTGGATTTATGCGTTTATTGCCTCAACAGTCTATCTCGGTGAAGGTTAGTCGCTTGCCGGTTAGTCTGCCTGAGAGGGCTTGGTTAGCTTAAGAGATTCCAAGCTACTGTTGAATCTTCCGCAGTTTAATCAACAGTTAATCAATCCAGGGTAATTACAACCTTGACCTAACTAAGGAGCTAGGGGGACTCATCGCGAGTGATTCTTCCCTTGCTAAAGAACTTTGAACAATTTCCTGATTTCTTACTGCTTTTACTTAAAATCACAATCACTCGACTTATTTTGCTAGATAATAGATAATCACGGAGTAGGCAGTAGATCTAGACCCCGGGTTGACAAATAGAACTTGCCACTAGTCTGCATTTCCGGACTGCGATTACACTTGGTCGCAGTTTGGTCTTGTGTTTTAGCGTGTCAAGTTTTTTGCGCTGTTGCCGGGGACTTCTAGGTTATTGTGGAAACGTGAAAGTTTATTACTTTAGCATTTTCTTTACTGCATTTTCTTTACTGCATTTTCTCTCTTCCATCTGTGTGCCTTCACGGGTTGCTTTTGCTGATTGCGTGCAGGTAGTGCATGACTCGTAGCCAATCGGGAGATTTACTACCATTAGTCCAAGAGCTTGGACAGACTAGTAGGAACTTCAAGCGGGCTTTAAAGGCGCGACTGGATGCGGAGGAGGCTCTAGCATAGCTGCAAATCATCGAGGAGTAAGAAATGGGTGAACCACATAACAATGATGTGGTCATTCCCGAGGAGCAGACCATGGGGTACTATTGGACAGCCAGAGCCGCGGACATGAGGTCGCCCATCCAGCACCCTCAAGTTCCAACAAATAACTTTGAGGTGAGCACCTCTGTCATCACCATGCTGTGCAGCTTGGTTGTATTCCGTGGCAAGGAGGGGGAATGCCCCCAATCACATCTGAGGCGATTCCACAAGCTCATCGATGGGATCAAGATCAATGGGGTCCCAGTCGATGCCATCCAGCTGAGGTATTTCCCATTTACTTTGGAGGGGCAAGCCAAGGAGTGGCTGGACACTCAACCTCCGGGCTCAATCACCACGTTCGCCAAGTGGCGGACAAGTTCCTCACCCGCTATCATCCTCCGTCGAAAACGGCGTACCTGTAGAAGCAAATCACCCACTTTTCCCCGGATAAAGATAAGACCATTCGGGATGGTTGAGAGAGATACACCAGTCTCTTACTCAAGTGTCCTATCCATGGTTTTATCGACGCCTTCAAGGTGGGCACCTTCTACGATGCCCTCTTCCCGGAAGACGAGCAGCTGATTGACTCGGTTTGCGGCGGGAATATGCTCACCAAGACACCGCCACAATTGAATCAACCTTTTGAAGAGATGGCAGAGCAGGGATATGATTGGGGAATTGCGAGGAGATCGAGATGAGCACTAGGGTGGGGTGTGCATGCTGTAGCCACCCACTCTTCTGATTTGGTGCAGGTTGTGTCTAAAATGGTCTCAGCCATCTATCATAATGGGCAGGGACGGGGCAGCAGCCGGCAATGCGTTGCCAGTGGTGCGAGAGCGCCCATTATACTGTGGAGGACTGCCAGGCCATGCGTGAGTCCAGTACACCCCAGGAGCAGGTGAACTTCATCAACAATGTGATATGATCCTAATTCGAGAATCCTCCCAAATCGGACCAAAAACCAGAATTGCCCAACGTCGAACTCTTTTTTGGGTTTTCGCCTTTCTTGAATAGCACGAAAGTAAAGATACTTGCGGAATCGATCAAACAAATCCGAACTCGTGAGAAGCGCCAGAAGGTATATGAAACCTTCCAAACAATCTCGAACCCGTGGAAGAGGCCAACCGATATCGTCGATGCTCGCCACAACTAGACGCGTTCTCTAGTTGATAAGAGACCACTCAAACCTCCCGAATCCTCAAAGGAGCGAATAAGCAAAACGTTCACTTGAACTTGTAAACACTTGTATTTGATTGCTGAAACTTGAATATTGGGTACAAAATTCGTAGCTCTTACATCCTCTATTTATGGCTCTGGATAGTATAACAACACCAAGAGTGTTGTTATAATAACAACATGATTCATTAAGGGCAAAATCGTAAACTGACAATAAAAACAAATTAAATTTAAATTAATTATCTGAAAAAAACCCTTCTCCTCCTCCTCTGTTCTTTCCCACTCGCATCTGACTTTCTTCCGTCCCTCACCATTGTGACTTCATCGGCGCCGGCGCCGATCCGAACGTTCCAGCAAGCAATCTTCCTCCGCCATCCCTCAATCCCCTCCGTCCATGTCGTTTCTCCTCCTTCCGGCGTCGACAGCGACGCCAATCTATCGATTTCAAAGGCTCAATCATCATCAGATCTGCTGAGGTTATTTAATCGACGATGATTGTGCCGGCGAGGGGAATAGAGACTCGTTAGACGAAAATGGGTGGAACATAGTGTTCGCTGATGAGGCCATTGCGGTACGGTAGCGGAAACTGGAGGGGAGATCTTCGGTTGCTGCTGCAGCTCCAAGCCGGCGACGGAAGGAGCTCGCAAGGCTGCCCCCTCTTCCCCGTTCCAATCCGCCCTAACCTCAACGACCAGGTGACATGATTCCTCCACGGAGGGACGCCGCCGTTTGCGCGAAGGTACTGGCCGTGGCGGGTTTTCAGGCGAACTTGAACGCCTTCTCTAATGGGCTCCCACTCGACGGAGGTGTCAAGGCGCGGGGGAGTCGTCTGAATCACTTTTTTCCCGGTCATCCCGAGGAGGAACGTCGTGGAGGAGGCGGTCAGGTACTTGCTGTAGCAGCTTTGTAACCGTATGGCCTGGTACCCTTCCACAATCTCCACCGTCCATCTGGCGTTCTTCGACATCCCGTTCCGATCCTGGCTCACGCCTTCCTGATCGTCGTATGCTGCTGATGTTCTTGTTGTTGTGATTGGTTTCGTCGTCGTTGTCGAAACGGAGGACGGTGGAGCTCAAGTCCCCCATACTCATATTCCTCTTCTTCCACAAAGCTATCTGGTTGGAGCTCGACGGCCTCCACCGCGCCGCCATGGATTTCGCCACCAGTGGCGGAGATATTAAACCTCTGTTGTACAAGTATTACTTCGTCCGTGGCATTTACAAGCACCACTGCAATTAGACTCACTTTAATTTTCATTGCAAAACACCAATTTAGTTCATTTGTAATTGCAATTAGTGAGTACAAGTCAATTTATAATTTTCCTAATGCAGATCACAAGTCACTAAAACCAACCAAAAACAGAATAAACAAAATCACAAATATTTCTAACACCAAAAACCCCCTAGTTCAAACCACAAACGCAATAAAACAACCCACAAAAAACATACCGGAAACCTCCTAATGCAAACCACAAATTCGCTAAAATATATAAAAAAACCCACAAAGCAAACCATAAATATTTTGCAAAGCACAACAGAAACCCCCTAATACAAACCACAAACACGGTAAAGCAAACCAAAAACGTCCTAATGCAGACCACAAATATATTAAAACAAACCAGAAATCTCGCAAAGCAAACCACAAAAGTTTCGAAAGCAACACCAGAAACTTCTTAATGCAAACCAGAAACCTCCTAATGCATACCACAAATCTCCTAAAACAAACCACAAACCTCACAAAGCAAACCACAACATTTGCGAAAGCACACCAAAAACCTCCTAATGCAAACCACAAACATAGTAAATCAAACCACAAAAAAGCAAACTATAAACGACCTAATGCAAACCACAAATATATTAAAACAAACCAGAAACCCCTCAATGCAAACCACAAAGATTTTGAAAACAAACCAGAAACTTCTCAATGCAAACCACAAACACAATAAAACAAACCATAAAAGGTATAAAAAAATATGAGAAACCAAACCATAAATCTCACAATGCAGACCATAACATCCGGTGGTCGTTGACCGTTGACCGGTCAACGAAGACCGTTGACTGAACTCCGGTGACCGTCAGTGAGCAGATTCCGACGCAGATAGGCATATTCCGGCCCCGGTGACTAGATTCCGACTCCGGTAAGCATATTCCGACGCCGGTAAGCATATTCCGGCCACAAAATAGCATATTCCGGCGACAAAAAACATATTCCGGTGACCGGCGGCCATTTTCCGGCGACCGGTGGCAGAATTCCGACGACCAAATTTTTGGGCAGAAAATAAAAAAAATATTTTATTATTTTTTTATTTAAACATCGTTTTCATAATGACAATTATACCCCTGTTTTGATTTTACACTAGGTCAACTCATCTAATAAAAAGTCATCACAATCCTTGCTTCCTATTGGTTGGGGACTAGTGTTGTTACAATAACAACACAATGGGTGTTGTTACAATAACCGGTCCCTCTATTTATAGAGGTCACAAAAACATAAAACTAACCTAAAAGGAATAGGAAAACAAATCCCAAACTAACTAGGAAACATAATACTACTTAAATAAGGACTATAACTCATTTTTATGACCAAAGGAAGCTCCTTAGCAGCTAAGTAATCTCCAAACACGTTTTTAATGCTTAAGGAAGCTCCTTAGTGGTTAAGCAATCTCTTTCCTTGTCCTTTTCACATTTGGATGACTTGGGCAGCAAGGATGGACCTTTTGGGCTCCAAGAAATGTTGTAGGCTGGATCCTTAATGCATTCTCCATTTTATCCATCAAGAATGCTCCCAATTGATCCTTAAATCGTTGAATTCGAACCTTCATTATGGGACCACGAGAATGGAATATCGCGCTAGTCGATATCGCATCACAATGCCAGACGCAACGATCCTTATAGTAATACCTACAATGAGGGATGGCGCCAGCATCCAAATTTCTCCGGGAGTGGCAACAGAAATCCAAAACCACCTGGCTTCCAGGCTCCTGCAACTAGTTTTCCAAACTAGAGGCAGCCATACCAGCCTCGCCCAGGCTAGATGCAGCAACAGCAACCACTTTATCAGCCCAGAGAGGGACAGGCTTTTCAATAGCCCCCCACAGCAGCAGTACTAGCAGCATGGTGCATCTCCATCAGTCCCAGCACCGGGCGATCCCGTGTTAGAACTAAGGGATCTAGTGACTACCTTGGCCAGCACTAGTACCCAAAAGTTCAATAAATTGGAGCAATTCTTGGAAGTGGTTGCAGGCAAATTCATGGAGATTGAAGCTGGCCAGAGAAACCAGCAGGCACTCTTGCAGGATATGGACACCAAGATCGGGCACTTGGCAGATGCCCTTGCTTCCAGACCGGCTGGCACACTTCCTGGCCAACCCCTGCCGAATCCCAGAAATCATAAGGAGGGGTTGCACGCCATTATGTTAAGAAGTGGGACTGTGACTGCGGATGCACCGCAGAAGAGTGCCAAGAAGGTGACCGAAATCACCCTTGAGTCGGAAGAAGACCTGGTGATGGAAAAGGAGCCAGAGGCTCAAGCTCCAAAGCCACAACCAGTAGTGGTTGAATATAAGCCTAAGCTCCCTTTTCCCACCAGGATGTACAAAGACAGGCTAGAGGCAGAGTTCGGCAACTTTTCGTCCATGCTTAGGAAGCTGAATGTTCAAGTTCCCTTCATGGAGGCACTATCTTAGATGCCTGAGTATGCGAATTTCCTAAAGGAGCTCCTATCGAAGAAGCGGAGGCTGAGCGAGCTGGCCACTGTGGAGCTCAGTGAGGAGTGCTCGACCATTCTGCAGAACAAGCTTTCGCCGAAGCAGAAGGACCCAGGTAGTTTTACTATCCCATGCTCTATTGGTAAATTGCATGTGGAGAGGTCCTTGGCGGATCTAGGTGCTAGTGTTAATGTGATACCATATCAATTGTTCAAGAAACTAGGCCTAGGTGAACCCAGTGCAACGAGGATGAGTATTCAATTAGCTGACCGATCTGTAGTCCATCCTAGGGGCATAGTGGAAGACCTTCTATTTAAGGTGAGCAAATTCTTTTATCCTGTGGATTTTGTTGTCTTGGACATCAATGAAGACGCAGAAGTGCCTCTTATACTAGGAAGGCCTTTCCTGGCCACCACCAAGGCTCTCATAGATGTACATGACGGGACCTTAGTTTTGAGAGATGGCGAGGAGCAGATAACATTTTCCATTGCTAATACTCTCCCCGCCTCATCACCTTTGCATGTTGTTTCTCACCAGGAGCACGAGTATGTTGTGTATCCTTTTGTGCCTTCCATTTTGCAGGACCCACCTCCCATACCTTCGCCGCCACTCCCATCCACCCCGTTCCCAAAAGAAAATATCAAGGAGAAGTGGCGGTCGAAACTGCAGGTAGCTAAGCCTGCCGAAAAGGAAGTGAGAGACCACTATGAGCTGGTCCCAGTTCCTGAGCCTCAATCGCCTTGGCCATCTGAGTATTCACTCGCTTGCATCCTACCGGATGGCCAGGTTGAGTTGATGAGTGCTGGTGGTCACACCCGTCGTGTGCATGGCCACCATCTGAAGTTGTACCTCAAGAGCGATGTGGATCCGCTCTTGGAGGCACATGTTCCTACACCTCTCTAAGCATCCACCCTACTGTCGTCAAGCTAAAAGACGGTAAAGAAGCATTTGTGGGGAGGCAACCCCACCAAGGTTTGTTTTCCTTTCGTTTGTTTTCGGTTTGTCCACTTGGAACTATGGTTTCTGTCACCCAGTGTGTTTTGATGAATCTAGCCCTGCTGACTGTCCGATTTCCAGTCCCCCGATAGTCCATATTCCCGGTAACATCTTTTCCCCTTATCTTTCCCTCTGCTCCATTGTTGACTGCTAGATGAGTTTGTGTGTTTGGAGCCTAGTCCGCTGTCCAAATCTCGAGATTTGAGGGCTCCAAGTACTGATGTTTTCATAATCATATGGGCACTGTGGGTTTGATTGGTGAATCGAATGGCTTTCGAATTGATGCATGACAACTGGATTGTGACTGAGACAACCTATAATGATGTCTGAGATGTGCGGTAGAGTTGTGTAGGGGTTCAGTTTTTCAACTGTTTGCTGACCAACTATGACTTGGATTGATCACTTGCTCTTGACAGTCGTTTATGCATCTAGTTCAGGAAATCAGAATGAGAGATAGAGCATATAGGTATTTGCATGTTCTCAGCTGTTTCTGCTAAATATAATGTGAGGGTTGGAGGTAGTGCTTAAAAGTTGGGCATGTGTTTGAAAAATGTGCAGAGGTGGTGGTTCTCTTAAGAAGTGAAAAAAAGAAGAAAAAAAAGATGAATGAAAGCAAAAGAGAGCCACTACCAAAAATTTGAATCATGCTCACTAAGTAGTGTTTCTTAGTAGTCTGGCTTAGAAATACTAACATTATTGTGACCTCCTTCACTCTTGTGCTCTAAAGAATTTGAGTAATGCAGAATGGCAGAAAGAAAGTAATTGGTGATTGGCTGTGAATGTGTTGGGTTTGGAACTATGGAACCTTGTGCTATGAATACTTCCACCACCTAAAAGGCTTTTTCCCCATGTCCAAGACTCTAGCCAGTCACTTGAACTTGTGTCTAAGACTTCGGATTAGTTAGTGGTAACATCCCTTGTGTGAACTCTAACATTTAGAGGCTGCCATAATGGTGAAGAGACGTTAGGATTTGAGAGAATAAGCATGCGCATTTTTCGCATCAAATTGTCATGACCCCACTGGTCGAGAGTGAGCGATTCATTTCCTTGTTCTTTATGCTCTTTACCCCAGTGAGGGCCTAGATGGCTCGGTCTTGATTCTGATGTCTTGAGTTTGATGCATGCGATGACTGTCTTGGTTAAGTGGTTGAGTCGAGTCTATGTTGGTTGGTGAACAGAAAGGATTCCTCTTCCTTTACCCGATTTTGTTGCACTCGAATGTCCTCTGTGGTGGTTGTCTAGGTTGCTGTTGAGTTGTCCATATG